ATTTTGCACTTTCATAACTGCAACTACATTTTTCTGTCAATGTACTATGCATATATGATGCCAACCCTGCATGGAATAAATGTAAGGGGCAAAATTTTACTAAAAATATGGAATAATGCCTCTAAATGTCTCTTGTATTGACGCATTTGACTGAATTTAGTTCGTTTTCTGTAAACTCATAGGTGTCGTCACACCTTATTGTAGTTTAGCTTCAGTTGCTTGTACTTAATCTTTCTGGTCTGTAAATTTGAGCTTTAAAATCCATGTAGTTTTTTTTCTCCAAGGTCTGTAAAGTCATTGTTCCTGCTGTTTGTGCAGCACATTTGCTCTAGTTATCTACTGACTCCCCTTACCGTTTCTTATGGTGTTTAAAGATTTCACCCTTGCTGTTCGCGTTTACTTAAGCTGGTATGCCGAACGAGTGAGTAAATAAAAAGAATTGTTTCCTCTTGACAAGCTTTTACTCATTGGAGCCTCTTCTTGGGGTCGGACGGTTAAGGGGCCTGTCCGACGCCCTTAATTTACGGCCGCGTCTTTGAAAACATTGGGGAGTTGGGAGGTTGTGGCACCAGTGTTTGGTGCTACAGCTGTTTTTACTGTCACGGCCATAAAGCTCCCCTGGGAAGGGTGAGACAAGAGAAGAAGAGATGAGAACAATGGCTTGTCATACAGCTTGCAGACACGCAAACTATCATGGTTGGAGAGGAGGAGGTGTGTCGATGCTGGGGCTGAGTGTGGAAACTTACCATACGGTTGAAATAAAGATAGCAGAGGGGTCACTAAGGCGTATTCAATCTTCCTGCCAAAAGACAATGCTAATGGTAATAACAAACAGACTGCACCTCATTTTTCTTTTATCTCATTCGCAGCTTTTCCTGTCTGTGACCATCTTAGCCTTTATTCTATTTGTCTCCTGTCACATTAGTGTATCTGAGCCATTATCTGTGATATGTGCTGCTCGGGAGATCTTCCCAGTGTAATGAAAAGACAAAATGGAGTTTGGTTTCCTGAAAGCTTTTTTGCACAAAAAGCCCCTTAATTTAAAGATGCATTTTTCTTTTTACTGATAGTAGCAAACTGGATTGCTGGTTCTTTTTAGAGTATGTATGGATATCTACCCCTTTATATTTAATGTGTCTATCCAGTAGTGATCATCTGTTGTTGGATGCCGTACATAGTGGAGGAATTGTACCTGCCTCAGCTGTACACCTAAATGCCATCTGCTCCTCACCTTCCTGAGAGGTTATCTGAGAATGTTTTGCTTCAGTTACTGTGTGAAAGAGTGCAGCCAAGCAGAAAGCTAAGTGTCACTGTAACTTTGTCTCAGATGTTTTACTCTGTTCCAGGATTGAAAATAGGTCTGCTCTGCAAGGCTGAGGGCAGCTTTAAGATAACTTATAATACTTTATTATTATTATTGATGTTCCAGGTAGCTTTATGATGTTAAGCAGGTGTGCTTGTTTCTGATTTGCTTACCATGCACTTGCTTACATGGTAAATGGACTGATTCTGATACAGTGCCTTTCTACTTAGCTTGAATACTCAAAGCACTTTATAATATAATCCTTATTCACCCATTCACATACACAGTCATACAAGCACTTTTTTATGCCTTGGTCCTTTCTATCCATCATTCACTCTTCAATTAATGCATCAGAAGCAACTCTGGGTTCGTATCTTGCCAAAGGGATATGTTTACATTCAA